CTTTATTGGTGTAAAAAAGAAGAACCAGACTTAATTATATCTTATTGAAGAAAATGTGATCGTAAAAATTAATTTATTATCATAATTTACATTTAATAAGTAATTATTTTTTGTATAATTTTGTATATTTATGAAAACACAGTAAATTTGTTTTTAATAATAAAGCAACACGATGTACTTTTTTAAAATTTCACATTAACAGTGAATGCAAGAGATATCTGACATTTTATTACTTTGAACAGTAACTTGGCACATTTAAAAAGGATAGTTAATTTTTTTTATATATTTCATAATTAATGTTTTCCAATTTGATGTTGTTTATTGTTTTACTAATTTAAATTTCACATCACAGCTAAAAGCATTAAAAGACTAGATTTAACTTGAAACGTGTAGATGCAATAAAATCACAGTGAGTAGGTAATCTTAGTAATTCGTTGTCAACGTTTCTCATCCAGATGATTACCGATCTACCCTAACCTAAATCAAGTTAAGATTTGTCAATTACGTGGAAAAATAGACCGTTATTCTAACAGTTTGTGGTATTGTAAAAAAATATTAAATATCAAATGACATGTTATCTATAATGTGATTTATTTTACGTTGTTTAATTTTTTATTGTGAAACGTAACTAAATACGTATATTTATATAGCTTTACGTTAGTGAAATGGAGTGATTTTAAATACGTCCTATAAATATAGAGGAAAAAATTATGATACTTCCCACATATTGATACTATCTACGGTCTTTCAAGTACGCAGTTGTACATTTTTTTCAAATTTCACATAAGTAACAAATTTTTTATTGAAAATGTTATGGAAAAATATATATTTTATAATATTCTTCTTCGATTTTTGAAACATACATTTAATTTTTTAATAACAAATTGAAATATTGAATTGTTAATAATATACAATTAAAATTCGGTCATAGGAAGAAAGTGGAAAACATTAAAATCTAATTTATTGAAATGATGATGGAGCTGAGTCATAGTTTGACCCTCAATGAGGATGCCCTTAATCAAATCCCAGAGGCTAAACGACCAGTTTTTATATTTGAGTGGTTACGTTTTTTGGATAAAGTCTTAATTGCTGCACAAAAGGTATCATTAATTTACTTAAATATTGAATGCAATATATCATATTTATTTGTTATAAGTTCTAATTATTCAGCATGTATACATAAAATATATTTGTTGTTATTAATTCTGTATTTGCAATGGTACCAAATTTTTAGAGTGATATTAAAGGATGCCAGCAAAAACTGGTTGAACAGTTAA